GCTCCAGGATCTCCTTCTCAGTACAGTCTGCATTCCAGCTCCAGGATCTACTTCTCAGGGCTGTTGCAGAGGATGGACCAAAGCTCTTCTCGCAACCGAGCAAAGCCTTGCTGCTCTGGAGTTGTGCCTGAAGAGTGGCAAACTATGGGAAATGCGAAGGGTAACAATGGGATGAAGATGTGGACACCAAGTTTCAAGCAGGGTTGTCTTTAATCTTGATGCTTTCTCTGCCAATTTTGAGTCCTCGGAGTTAACGGTGTATGAAACACAGAATTACCATTACTCATTGTTGTGCAAATGCGTGCTCCTGCTTGCGCCCTTATTTCTTTCCTTCGTCCTGAGCCCACTCTTTTTTTAATGTTTAATTTTAAATAAATGCATGCAAATGGATGCCATGTTGTTATAATGTTTTTCTTGCCATACACAGTTTATTATATCTTGATATTCCCAATGTTTGTACATTGATAGAGAATTCTCAGTCTATTGAAACTACAAGATGCTGTCAACCAGCATAGGCATTAGAACAACATTTGACATTTGGGGGCTTTTTAGCTGGATTCTCTTTGTCACACTGCCCACATTCACTGCTAGTTTGGGCAGCTGATACACAACCAGAGCTCAGTTGTATTCGGAGGTAAGAGGAGAATGATTTAGCAAAATGCCTGGGTCCTCACAGTAGCTGAGGATGCAGGCTGGACGATGTGCCCAGTGACTCCATTCTAGACTCGCTCCCATGTGGCAGGTCTGATACTACACACATTCACCAAATAGAAGAGTGGGTTCTCCACCAGTACAGCAGCCCACATTGTCTCCTCTTGGTCCAGAGTTTGTTCCTATAGTAGCAATTTCTTTTCTACACCATTTATTTATAGTGGAGGGGCCAGTTAGCCCCAGGAATAACTCATTTTTGTTCTGTTTTATTTTGTTTTACAAAGTGCAAGAAGAAGCCAACCCTTCTCGGCACATATGGCTTCTCAAAAGCAAAGACCCAGGGTGGCAGCTCTTTTTAAGACTGAGAACATCTTCCAGGGAGGTGTAACCCAGAATACACCATCCACATCTCTGAAGGAAGCAGGAACTCTGGCTTCTGGCTGGTTGCTGTGATGGCCCAGAATCTATCTCCTCATCCTCCTCCTGATGTGTGGAAGAAATGGAAGTGCCATAAAGGAGCAACATGTCTGACACCTCTTCAATGTACAGGTGTTACACAGCTCCTTGTGGGGCACTGAGCAGGGGATTTGAGGTTTCAGATATCAGGTTTTCATCCCATCCCATTGCTGCTCACCGACCCCGCAAGGGCTCCTTTGGTTTGGCTTTGTGACTTGGTTGATGAGGCTGGTTTCCAGGGCCCCTTTCATCTCCCCCAATCTTCCTTCCATGTCTGTCTGCCTCTGTTCTCATTACCATTGCTTCCCTCCTACAGGAAGGCTTGTCTCCCGGTCCCTCCTTTTCCTCTTACTTTCCTTAACCCTTACGCACAGGAGCCATACCTGATACGAGGCAGTCCAGATATCCCTGGCACTTGGAATGGAAGCGACGGGAAAGTAAAAATGCCTTCGGAGTTGAAAGGCCAAGTGAGAGGCAGATCGGTTTACGAAGCCACCACAAGAGGCACCCGGATAGTAGAGAAGGGTTCAATGTCCTTGTCTGTGCAGTGTGGGTATTGGATGAGAGCTGGCCCTGGGCATTCATGAAGATCACTGTGGAGGAGTTTCAGGTCACCCAAGCCGACCCTCCTCACTGTCAGGGCATCCAATCCCACCGCCTCTCTCAGGCTCTCTGAGCAAAAGTAGTGTGGGCTGGGTCTGAGTCCAGGTCTCAGCATCACAGCATGCTGAGCACCTTGACCCTATTTCTCCTCGATAGCTAGATCCCAAACTTGACTGTGTCTTTACTTAAATATTTTATATAACAACAGTACCAATGACCCAGGAAGGAGCTGAGCTCAGAGGAAAGCACGTCCCTAACAGCTGTGCTACGCACCTGTTCTGCCAGCCTGCTATTGACAGGTTGTTCTATGAGAGGAATGAAAAGTGGGCTCTAAAGCCCTAGTTAGTCCCCTGAGATTTTGTCCCATGAGTTTGGCCTTCACACAGCAAACTTCCCAATTATAGAGGCTGTTGTTAACCTCAAGCCCCTAGGCTGCAGGTCCGGGAAGAAGCCTGGGTTCTAGATACCAAGGGCAGGACTGTGCGTGTGGTGAAGTGCCCAAAGTTTCGCTCTCACTTAACTAGACAGATCGAATAGCTGTCTTTCTAACTCTAGTCTCAGCGAGCAGGGAAACACTGTTGTTTATGCGTCTAGAGCCTTTGAGGCAAAATAACTCAGTGTCACTTAGTCAGCCTTCCTCCTTGCCAGTCACCATGGCAACCTAAAGAAGGCCTTTGGAATCCAGCCTCGAAGTCCTCTTCAGAGTTCAGATTGGACGCTACAGCAAGCAAAAGGAATTTAGGGTCTCTGAGGGCAAATGAACTCTCTCACACTGTGCTGCTCCAAACAAGTCTCTTTATTCTTCCTACTCTATTCTAACAATTCCTCATAGCTTCTTCCCCTCTCACCTGAAACCTTTCCTCTTCCAGGAGGCTTGGAGCAATAAAAAAAATTACCAAGTAGAAGAGTTACTTCTACTTGGTCAAAAGCACATTCCTAGGGAAAGTGATAAGGAGCTGAGCCATCGCCATAGCAACACAAGACTCCAAGGTTACCATGGCAACACAAGGCTCCAAGACTGCTACAGACAGGTGGAGGCACAGTGCCCAGCAACAGACTTTGAGGCACAGCTCTACTGTCAGCAGACTTGGCAGGCAAACAATTGGCAAGCTTTTCTTTGTGTGCTTTGTGTAGTTACCTTGGTTAGACACCTCCGACTCTGACCTGCATAGCTGTAAAGTTTTAAAGATATGATCTGTTTACAAAAAGTCTTAAGTCTAGTTTGAACTTGTTCTGAGGTAAAACTGAGCTAATTGTGTGCAGTTAGTTTGAGCAAAAGGAACTTTTGCTTTTAAGTGTCTAGAGTCCTTATGGGACACTAGATCTACTTATAAAGCATATCTTAGTATATTTTCTATATGTCAAAATTATACAGATAAATGATAAATCATCTTCCTGACCACCCACAGATATATGTGTCCATAAGACTGAGATGTAATCATGAGATTACACATACACATATGTCAAAATTATACAGATAAATGATAAATCATCTTCCTGACCACCCACAGATATATGTGTCCATAAGACTGAGATGTAATCATGAGATTACACATACACAGCACATGAGATTACACACTACAGTGCAGGTATTGGGGAGACACCAAGCTGCTTTAGCAACAGTGAGCAGCAGTTGCCAGAGTCGATGTCCTGCTGACTTTGCCTGGACAGGCTTCTCCTCCTTTAGAGAGTCACTTCTCCCGTGGGCTGACATCTGAACAGGCTGTCACCTGCTGTAACACTCATGGCCTCCGACAACAGCCTCTTGACAATGGACACATCTGAGAGCAATCACAGGGCCCTGGAGCAGCCACTCATGTCTACAGATTGAGAGAGCCGGCAGAGCTGGGATAAGATGATTTGAAAATCCTTCATCCTTCATGTTTGTGAAGCCTGCTAAGGTTTTCAGAGACAGCGACAGTTGTCACAGGTTGCTCATGGCAGAGACAACTACAGTCATCACAGGTTGTTCACGGCAGAGACAGCGACAGTTGTCACAGGTTGTTCATGGCAGAGACAATAACAGATGTCACAAGGTTGTTCATGGCAGAGACAATGACAGTTATCACAGGTTGTTCATGGCAGAGACAATAACAGATGTCACAAGGTTGTTCATGGCAGAGACAATGACAGTCGCCACAAGGTTGTTCATGGCAGAGACAATGACAGTCGTCACAAGGCTGTTCATGGCAGAGACAATGACAGCCATCACAAGGTTGTTCATGGCAGAGACAATGACAGTCATCACAAGGTTGTTCATGGCAATGGCAATTGTAGTAACGAAACGGGAAAGATCTACAGATTCTCCTTTTACTCTCAAAACAATCTGCATGGAGTGGGTGCCATTACCTACAGACTGTAGGCAGTGTTCAAAGTCATGTGTGTAAACGCCCTGCGGGGGCAGTGTTCATAGTCATGTGTGTAACTGCCCCCGCTGGAGCAAACAAGGATAGTTTTATTTCATAGGTCACACTTCTAGCCTATCATCTGTATTCGATACATGAAAACCACACTTAATAACTGTAAGGAAATTCTGACTGTTCCTGAGTGAAATACACTTTACTGTTTGTTTAGATGACGAAATGACAGCTGTCATCATTATACAATTAGATAGCTATACGTACTAAGTAAACAGTTGAAAACAAGTTTTCATATATGATTATTAAGGGTTTATCATATA